TTGATGAAAAATACGATGGAAATTAAACCACAGTAGGAAATATAGTACACATCTACTGCTTTGTGTATTTCTGCTGCAGTTTGGACACTTAGAAACCCATGGAAAGTGGGAATATAGGCTAAATTATGTCAAAAGATAATATAAACATCCCTCATTACATTGGAATACACCAAACTATTCCCTTAGCAAAGATCAAAATGCATCTTCAAATGGAGGTGGACTCAAAGGATGCATTTCTTTACTTCTTTAAATTGCAAAAATATCCCTAGTGATGCATTTAAATGTCTCTCTCTTGTAGATTCCCCTGGTGGACTGTGGAAGTGATGAGAAGTGCATCGCTGATCTCTCTCTCAAAGCAGTGCCTAGTGTCAATAAGTAAGTGGAATGAATCTGTCTTAAAACAATACTTGTATAAAGTTGCATACAAATACTTAACGATATGTACTTCATTACCAGATGTGGGAAGTATTGGAGTACAAATACTTTGTTACTGTACTTAAGTACATTTTTCTGGTATCAGTACTTTACTCTACTACTTATTTTTCTGAAGACTTTTTACTTTCTACTTCTTACATGTTGAACACAAATACCTGTACTTTCTACTTCTTACATGTTGAACTCAAATACCTGTACTTTCTACTTCTTACACTTTGAACACAAATACCTGTACTTTCTACTTCTTACATGTTGAACTCAAATACCTGTACTTTCTACTTCTCTCATTTTCCAAACAGGCTGGTTCCTTTAGTCTGAATGTGTGTTTGGTGGCGTGATCATTATTATTTAGAGTCATTGCGTGCCTATTGATTTGAACACGATCCGTGTATCCATCATTTCCTGGTCTTCTCTAAAGAAGAGGGACCAATGAAAACGTTGTCATGTTGCTGTTGTTCAGCATGGAAACATTCATTAGCTAACAATGACATTATTGTTCTATTAATATAAAGGGAGGTCAGGTACTCTTTAAAACAGCTGCTAGTTATGGGTACTTTTTACTGAGGTACATTTCAAAGCCTCTTTACTTTGACTTGAGTAAAGAAGTTTAGTCAGTACTTCTACTTTCACCAGAGTATTTTTAAACATGAGTTATCTGTACTTCTACTTGAGGAAAGGATGTGTGGACTTTTGCCAACGCTGATTATTAGCAGCTTCCTGTGCATGACTGCCTCCTGGTGGATTGACGCGTGCATTATACCCACAAATACTCACATTTTTAATAATCCTGCAGGATGATGATCAGAACCAACAAAGACAAGATCGACGTGAACATCAACGTGAGGAACAGCAAGGACAACGCGTACAACACCAAAGTCATCCTCAGCTTCTCCCCAAACATCAACTACGTTAAAGTGGAGGTGAGACCATCTTCTGTCTGCAGCATCTTAACCCATAAGAACCCGGACCCATTTCTACTTTTGGGAAAATTAAGGGGAACATAATTTTGACTAAATAGACCACCTATAACACATTTATGACAAGTAACCCCCCCTAGTGTCAAATATCTGAAAAGTGACATATATGGCTTTAATGGTAAAGTATGACATGGGACCTTTAATTAATGAGGATGACTTTTTGGTTTAAATTAGTTTGAACATTCTGTGAATTGAAGAATAAAGAATATATCAACTAAATGTAATTGAATCAGCTAAACTGAGCAGATTGTAATCATATTTCTAATTGTGCATGTGTCACTCTGGGTTTACTGTGAACGTTTTAGTTAATGTCCCGATGTGAACATTTATCTTATTCGTTTCATATCAATTTGATCAAGAAATGTTTCCACAACAGGTTCAATGTAATAAAGGACATGTTATATAGGCATTTCAATTATTAAATGGCTTGAATTTTCCCTTTAGCAACAAACAAAACATGTAGCTAGTTCTGTCACATGTGTTAGCCCGGCCCATGGACATCTTGGACATGTTGTTATGGCAACACAAAGTCAAATGACCTGGCCCATGACCCACCAGAGTGTTCAGGGTGTGTCACTCAGGGACTTCATGAGATAAAAACCAGGATAAATCTGTATAAGGAACTTTCCAGAACATTTAAATGTCATGTGACACCTGTGTCACGGTGGGTCCTTATGGGTAAACTAATGCCATGTGTGTGACGATGTGTGTTTAATTGTGTGTTATTCCCAGCCGGAGAAAGCGTGCACGCTGAATCACACGAAGGTGGAGTGTGCGGTTGGATACCCTTTCTTAGGAAGCAATGTAGAGGTCAGTTTCAGTCGCATTAACTCTGTATTAAATGAGGTGTTGTTGTCTTTAGTGCTGCTAATAATATGTGTTATGTTCTGATATCCACAGGAAGACTTCAAAGTGAGATTTGAGGTGAATCCCAAACACATCCAGGACGTGATTCAGATCAACGTGACGGCCACGAGGTATTTTTTATATGTTTGACTTTTTCTTTATTTGACTGAATTGAATTAAATATACTTTGTTCAAAATACAAACTCATGCTTTTACATTAATTATAAATAGAAAAACAAAATAAAAAAAAATCTTAATTATGTGCCTTAAATTCAAAAGCTTTTTTCTTCTTTAACATGAAACTAGTTATATAAATTTGTGTTTTGTATTTATTATTCTATTGATTTATTACACTATTTATTATTCTATTGATTTATTACACTATTTATTTAATATTATATTTATTTATTATACTATTTATTTATTATTATATTTATTTATTATTATATGTATTTATTATTATATGTATTGATTATCATATTTATTTAGTATTTTATTTATTTATTATTGTATTTATTTATTATTATATTTATTGATTATTATATTTATTTATTATTGTATTTATTGATTACACCCTCTTCTCCCCACAGTGACAGTGAGGAGCTGGAGTCGACGCTGCACGATAACTCGGTGCAGATCTCCATCCCCGTGAAGTACCAAGCTGGAATCATCTTCACTGTGTGAGTGGCTCCTCTTCCTCCTCCTCTTCATCAATGCTGCAACTAATAACTGAAATACTCTCATCTATTGATTCACCTGCCAATTATTTTTTAGATTAATTAACTGTTCGGTCAATAAAATGTGCGAAAAAAAGTAAAAAACTTCCAATTAAGTGACTAATTTCTAAAGGTGATGTCTTTTTTTTAAAGTCAGTAATTTAATATTAATATATACAGTCAAGGAACAACAAAACAGAGTTACTGTAGCTTATAGTTCATAAAAAACAGTTATGAAATTACAAAAATGTAAATAAATAAATAAAATTAATATTTCAAATCATAAATAATTGAATATCTCGTTTTTATTATTATTTGTATTTGTATTATATCATTACTGTTATAATTATTATCCTTGTTATTATTTAAAAAAATATTTAAAACACCATACATGGAGCGGAATAAGTGTGCTCTATTTGTATTAATTGGTAACGAGACTTCTGGTTTCATGATACTTTGATTAAATTAAATGCGTAAATCTAATATATGTCTTTTTGTTTACAGGCGTCCTATGGATGAACACGTGGTGGTGAAAGACGGTGAGACATTTGCGAGTTCGTTCAACGAAACAAAGATGATCGGAGAGGAGGTCATCATCAGCTACACGGTAACACATCGCATCCATGTGTTCGGTTATTAACAGAGATGTCAAAAGTACACACATGTATCCTTTACTCAAGTAGAAGTACAGATACTCGTGTTTAAAAATACTCTGGTGAAAGTAGAAGTACTGACTAAACTTCTTTACTCAAGTCAAAGGGGATAGG